ATATGATTATTTATTATTATTATTGTTATTATTATTATAATATATTATTTATTATTTTAACGTATATTTAATAAAGATAATAATAATAATAAAGATGATACCAGGTTTATGCAATTTTTAAAATGCCGACTCAAACGACCACAATCGAGACGGTGACCGTCGTTCGGCCACTGAAGGTTATTATTTTTTATTATTATTGTTTTATTTATTTTTATTAATATAATTATTAATTATTATTACTTATTACTATTATTTAATTTTATTATTGTAATATAATTGATGTTACTATCCTAAATTCAAATAAATATTCGTGTCACGAACCGTCATTTGATATACTCCAAAAATATTCAGTGTGAATTAATAATTTTCATCAAATTATATTTATTACATTATTATATTAATTATGATAATTAATGCATTATATAATAATAAATATAATATATAATAAATATAATGTATAATAAAAAATAAAATAAAAGCAGATAATCGCGTTGGTATGTCTATTCATCGCCCTCGTACTGCTCATCGTGTGTCTGTCGACGACCTGGTGGCTCAGGTCGGGAGGGTTCAGGACGGGTCTATTCGCCGAGTGTACCGCAGCCACCGAGACCCTGCAGACCATTCCCGGGGCACCTGCTCCGGGCAATTGCCAGACACCGCACAGATACTCTGGTGTGCTTGATTCGTTATTATATTTAATTATAATAATAATGATAATAATAATAAATAATGATAATAATAATAGCAATAATAATAACAGTAATAATAATAATAATAATGTAATAATAATAACAATAATTAGAATAATAATAGTAACAATAATAATAATAATAATAGCAACAAAAATAGTAATAATAATAATGATAATAATATCCAGCCTCGTGAATCTGCTAAAATAAATATGAATAAGATTCTTTTAGTTTAATTAATAATAAATATGACATAATATAATATATATTAAGAAAATGAAAATATTTATGGGTAACGTGATGTTTTTTTAATATGTGAAATTGAAAAGAATTAATATTTTTTTAAAATCTATTAATAATTAGTACTTAATATTATATATATAATAAATATAATAATATAAATATATAAATAAAATAAAAAAGAAACAGTTTCAGCGTATATAAAAGCAGTGGCCGCGTTGCTTATAATCGCCGCCGTGTTGACGTTGTTCGCGTTCGTATTGAATATCTTCGGATTGAAGGCTAACGACCTGCAACGCAAATATTTCTTCTACAAAATTGCTACTTACCTGTCGTTACTCTCAGGTAGGTGTTATTTATTATTATTGTTTTTATTACTTATTATTATTTATTATTATTATTGTTATTATTATTGTTTTTGTTATTTTTTATTACTTTTATTATTTATTGTTATTATTATTATTGTTTACTATCGTTTATCATTATTACTTATCATACGAGGTACACAATATATGTGATAATAGTAGTAATAATAATAATTATACGAGGTACAAAATAACAATGTAGAGGCCGAGTTATTGCCTGGTGTCATCGTAGGCTCAGGCTTGAGCTGAGGCTGAATTAAATGTTTTCATTATCCGATTATATTAAAATTATAAATAATGTTGTATATAATAATGATACCAATAGCAATAATAAATTATAATAATAACAATAATAATAATAAATAATATCAGCATATAATAATAATTATTGTATATATAATACGAATAAATTTTCAGTGCTCCTCGAGCTGATATCGCTGGTGGTGTTTCCGGTGTGTTTTTATGTGGAGATGAAGAATTTCGGGTATCGAAATTGGGAGTTTGATTGGTCGTATGGAGTGGCCTGGGGAGGGACGTTGTTCACGTTCGGGGCATCACTACTGCTCATTTGCGATAAAGAACACGAGGAGGTTTACTACAAACAGAAGACCATCTATAACCCTCCTCCTGAACTGCATTGATCTTTTTTTATTTATTATTATTATTATTATTGTTATT